AAGGACACAGGTCCCCTCAGAGGGAACCTTCAGGGCCCCAGTACAAGAAACCATGAAGGGCCCCCCCAACCCCCCACGGCACTGTGTGGTTAACAGGAAGGTTGCCGAGGTCCCCAGCAATCACAGGACCTCAGGCAGCCGTTTCAGTTTAAACATTTTGTGCCGGTGTTCTGTTGAGAACGCCGACCCAGTATCTGCACTTGCGTACAGACAGGATTAACAAGGAAACCGGCATTTATTTACAAAGTATTAGTTTGTAATGGTTAATTGTGACCGTTAATATGCCATCCATGGCAGTAAATGATGGATGGCATATTATTAACAGTCACAATTAATGATTTAAACTAAATACTTTGTCAATAAATCCCTGTTTCCTCGATAATACTGGTCTGTGCGCAAACGCAGATGCTGAAGTCGGAAAATTCCACTACGTCAGCGTTCTCGACAGAACACCGGTATCTGCGCTTAGTATCGGGGCATTTTCACGAATATGATTATACAGCAATGCAGAATAACCCCAGGTCTGCAGGACTACAAGTCCCAGCAATGCATTATATTTATAAATAGGGATGCACCAGTGCCAATACTGTGCATTTTCACGAGTACTCTGTATAATACAGCAATGCAGAATACCACCAGCTATGCAGGACTACAAGTCATAGCAATACATTATAAGAAAAATCAGCAATGCAGAATACCTCCAGCTTACCCCACTCCCCCCCATCCCCCCCGCCGTTCCCAGGCCAGACTCTAACCTGACTTGACTCACAGCACCTTCTTCCACGTCTCGGCGGCCAGGGAGCGGGTCTAAGTGGCTGCAGCACATTCTGCTGGACAAGTGACAGCCTCTCCAGCCCCGCACAGCCGCCCATACATGCTGCAGGTGGCAGAGCGGCGGGGAAGGAGCGGCACTAACTGGGGGGGGGGGTTTTTTTCCCCCCCGGGGCCCCCCCCCCCCCCCCCAACAGGCGGAACGCCAGGGCCCGGTCGCAATTGCGACCTCACTCTGGTAGTTCCGCCAGTGGGTCCCCTTCTGATCGCGCGTCCTCTACCAGCTCCAGGGTGAAACTGAGCTTGAGTCTCTTTGACCAGCAGCAGATCCGGCTGCCTGTGTGGCCCTGAGCGGTGGGATTGTCAAATGCGGCAGAGCAGGAGGGGAGGCAACGGGCCCCCACCTGAACACCGGCCCGAATGGTCAGTCCGCCCTGTTTGCAAGGTAAATCAGCCATAATGTGGTAATATGTATCCATACTTGACAGTTACGGCAAACTTCTCAGGAGTGTTTTTTTCTCCTTTAATAACCACTTTACTTCCGCTTTAATGGTCTCTGTATACATGTATATTCACACACTTATGTGAACCTGCATTGAAAATGTACCATTTATCCTCACAGTGATTTCATGATTTTGCTGTGGATTTAGTTTTGATAAATTAGGCCCTGTAGGTGTATGCATAATAAAGTACAAAAAGAGTCATTTATTATGTTATACTGTATGCTTTTTTATTACCAATTTAAAAATAATTCAGCATATTATAAGTATTATTATACAGGATTTATATAGCGCTGACAGTTTGCGCAGCAAATTGAGGCAGACAATAGAAAAATAGATATTAAGCCTATTCTCAAAAGCCTTAGCAACACTATCTGCTCAAACTATTATAATTGATTAAATCAACAAGTAATGAGGAAGTATTAAGGAAATGTATTGATATAAAGCATAGAAAGCATAGGACTTGACTGTTTGTCTTCCATATATTCTAAAAGGTAAATTATATCCCGTCATCATACATAAAAATAATTAGTTACCTACTTAGTAATGATACTACTTAGAAATAGAAACATTGTAAATAAGCAAAAATAGTGGTTTTTGCTTATTTACAACGTTGCTCTAGGCAGTTCCTCCACTCATTAGAATAAAAAGGGGCATATTTTTTGTGAATAGATTTGCCAACTTATAAGATTCCCACTATTTTCCCCCAAAATTGTGCCTACAGTTTATACTGCCCTAACTTTTATAATACTCTAATGGAGAAAACAGAAGAAGGAGCTTTCTTAAATTGTATTTAAAGCCAAAACCTCTTTTTAGTTTAGAATAGGGAAATGAAGGGCTAGAACTTCTTTTGGGTTTTCATTACTGACTTTGTTCTTGGTAGGGAGATTCAGACACTCTTATTTGTCCTAGTGACTGAGGTCACCAACACTGGAAATGAGGGAAAATTCAAAGTTTAAGTTGTCACCAGAATAGGAAATAGTTCAATAGGGACAATTGATCCACAACTAACTGTAGGGGGACCCCAATGCCCAAAAAGGAAAAAAAAACCTGGGGGTCCCCCTAAAGTTCCAAACCAGACCCCTAATCCAAGCACTGGCTTGGCAGGTCAGGAAAGGGGGTGGGCGAGTGTGTGCGCCTCCTCCCTGCACCATACCAGGCCACATGCCCTCGCCATTGGAGGGTGCTTTTCCAGGGGGGACCCCAATGAGGACATGGGCCTATGAAGACCCTATGAGGAAAACCCCTGACGAGGACATGAGCCTCTTCCCCATAACACTTGCTCAGTGGTTGTGGGGGTTTGGGGGCAGGGGGGCTCATCTGGGCACCTCCTTTTATAAAGCAGGCACCCAGATGCCAGCTGAGAAATAGTTGTTTTTTCTCCATAATGCACCAATGTCAAGCCATTTATAGTAATGATATTCCTTGAAAATGCTAATGGGTTTTTATGAAATGCTTAGGAAAGGAACATCTCATTTTTGTTAACAACATCTAAAAAGGTGGAGCTTAACGATTTCTGCTGGATTTAATATGCATTTTTTTAATAAAGAATTATAGCAGTTTTAATACTTCACTTTCTGCACATCCTCTTTCTTTAAAAACTAAAATTTGTCTTTCAGAAATTGGTGAGAGCAGATAAGCTCAAGCAGTCAGAAAACAAAAAATATACATTTTTTAGACTGTTACATAAATTCAAAGCCTAATTAGCCCTTCTTATATTATTACTGTAATGCAGTCAGGCTTCATATACAGTAATAAACATGCTGTTCTTTTACTTTTTTTAGTGGCTATTAGGGATGCACCGATACCACTTTTTTAAGGCCGAGTACGAGTACCGATACTTTTTTTTCAAGTACTCGCTGATACCAATTACCGATACTTTTTCTTAAAGGGACAGGTCAAATTTTTTCTAAAGCAATACAAAATCATGATTTTAGGTCAGTTTCTTAATATTATGAAGAACATGAACACTCTGTAGTGTGGCACAGCTATATCCAATTCTGCATACCTGGTTTTATATTATAAGAACTTTATAATATAAAGCCAGGTATGCAGAATTGGATACAACTGTGCCACACTATACAATAATACACCCATTCACTCATAAAACACAGAAATGCACTCTGAGGATGAGCTGATCAGCATAATAAACGGTACCGGATTAAACTCAAAAAAATGACAGAGGAGGTCACAGCCATCTTGCCTCATTGAAGACGCGATGGAGGTCCTGTGTGCGGCGGATTCGGGTCCCTGAAGATGGCGGACGCGGCACAGGTACTCGTTTTATGAATTGGAGTATTTGCACGAGTACGAGAACTCATGCAAATACTCGGTATCGCGGCCGATACCGATGCTTGTATCGGTATCGGTGCATCCCTAGTGGCTATGTGTCGCAGCATGGGTTAAAATATTCTGTGCTGGAAGCACTTAGGAAAGTCCAGCTGCTGTTCTTACAAACACTGCAGTGGATCAGTTCTACTGTGGACTCCCATGCACACTGCTCTTATGTTCAGGGCCATGCTGCTCTGTGAGATAAGTGGTCGGGCTCTCTTAAGTGCTGGTAGCACAGGGTATTTTAACTCCTGCTAAAAAAAAAAAAGAGTCCCATATTTATTATTATTATTATTATACAGGTGAAACTCGAATAATTAGAATATCGTGCAAAGTTCATTTATTTCACTAATGCAACTTAAAAGGTGAAACTAATATATGAGATAGACTCATTACATGCAAAGCAAGATAATTCAAGCCGTAATTTGTCATAATTGTGATGATTATGGCTTACAGCTCATGAAAACCCCAAGAACCCCAAATCCACAACCTCAAAAAAGTAGATTATTACATGCAATCAATAAAACAAGGATTGTACATAGAACAATATCGGACCTCTGAAAAGTACAAGCATGCATATGTACTCAGTACTTGGTTTGGGCCCCTTTTGCAGCACTTACTGCAATTACTTTTGCATGATATTCTAATTATTCGAGTTTCACCTGTATATGCAGCCTGACTGAATATAATAAAGAGTGTTCAATTAGGCTTTAACATTTGCATTTTTTGTGTAATTTGTGTAAATCTAGAGATATGTGCTGGGTCGGACACTTGTGGATATTTGAAGATACTCCAAAGTACCACTGCGGTAACTTGCCACACGAGTTAGCGGTCTGTCACTGAACCCTTCTGCTTCTCTCTTTTTCAATGACTCCTTTATCATATCTGAAAAATAAGACTGAAGGTGCTGCTGATTTTCCCTATGTAAAATGAGAAGAAAAGAAAAAGTAACTAAAGTTGTAGATATGAGTTGAAACTGACATGTAAACACTCTACGAGGGAAGGTATATTGTATTTTGAGAAAGCACATATTGAGTTATATTTTGTGTTTATTTAAAGTATCAGTTCTGTATCAATCAGGAAATCACATAACCTCTGCCAATCATATGTGAGCGTAGGGTAAATTGATAACATATATTTCAGAATGATGAATGTGAAGGAAACATCATAATCTTTTTGAATATTTGAACATCTGTTATTAAACCCCTGCTGGTGTGAAACACAAAAGAGATCTTGTTTTACGGATTTATGGATTTAATAAAGAAGTAACATTTGTATGCTGGAGTGCCGTCATCCATTATTATTCCGGCAATATAGAATAGTGAAGCCCTATCATAATAAATCCATCACAACACAAAGATTTATTTGCACTCATGTCTATGCTTTGGACTGTATGTCTGTCACATTAAAGCCCAATCCGAGCAATATATGGCTATGCCCATATTTTTTTTTAGCAATGTTACAAACTATGGAAATATCAGTGGCTCCTATTTGTGAGCAAAAGGGTTAACTGTGTTTCTATGTTTCAGTAAAACCTTTAACTACTTACTTTAATTCAATGCTAATTGGGCTTCAATGCTAATGGGGCTTCTAATGACTATGATTTTTAAATGAAGATTTTTCCGTTTAAGGCTGAGCTGGTTTTGTATGTAAAGCCTAAATCAGATTTTCATTTTTCTAGTTTTGATATTATTGCTGTCTGTGAAGCCATTGAGGAGATTTTCCTTACTTCTGTCCCTGTGACTCCTATACAAGAAATGGGGGCTGTGGATGGTACCATCACATTAAGGCACAGACAAACATATAAACATTGTCAGAAGCTCGAACTCTTCTTCACTTTACTAAAAAGATTTGTTTTGGTATTGTCTGCTTCCCTGCCCAAAATATGCCCCATTTTTTCCTGCCATAACGCAAGGGGGATCTTCCCTATATGGACACAAACAAATGTGTGGCTGGACTTGGATTTTAATCACTTACACCATACACCCTACACAGAAACACACATGCTGCTCCTCTTACTTGCAGCTCCCCAGCCTGCCTCCAGGACATGCTGCTTCTTCTCAGATAACAAGAAATTTTATGGCAAGACAGGAGGCTTCATATTTTGCATAACTTTCTTTACTGAAACCTCATAGCAGCAAAGGAACATAACAGAAAACAAAAGTATCCAATAGCAGCACACAGCATGTTATAAAGTCCACCCACACGAAGATCCATCCTCTTTTCTTTGCTGCAAGTGCCACGCTAAACGAGCTAAACGCTCCTCAGTCCCTGCTTCGGCGGGACGGTTATCTTACGCTTCCCCCTCGCGGGAAGCCCATCACCGCTCCTCTCAGGATGCCTTGGAAACCCAATCACCATTGGGTAGTGACGCGGGTGAGCCCCGCAGTGTCCAACTGGCCATTACCCAACAATGTTCGGACCCGGCGGATGCCGATTTGGTGCTTGACCCTACTGGGGAAGCACTTTTTGACCCCAGATTCATTCGCCATCCCAGGTCATCGGAGTGGACTCCTCCGGACCATATTGCCAGATACCTGCAGGTCTGGCTACGTAAGCCTTTAGAGAAGGAGGTCCGCAACCGCCTTCGGGCAGAATGCCCTCGACCCTCTATCCCAAGTAAGGTCTCAGCCACACCTGAATTTGACCAGTTTATGGTCACTTATATGAATAAAAAGGGTCGTGACCCCAGACGGGGTTTGGAAAAGGGCTTAAAGGCTACGCAGGACAAACTACTCGATGTCTCTGGTCCAATGACGCAGATCTTTGTCCTTGCGGATGAGGCTTTGGCACAAGGTACTTCTCTGGATCCCCGTTTAATCCTGGATTGGATCCAACGCTCTATCTGCCTGCTGGGCAATGCAAACACGGCAATATCCGCAGAACGCCGCAGGGCTGCACTGCTACGCATAGATGCCCGTCTGTCCGATATGGCGGAAAAAGAGTTGGGCGCTAAAGCTGATGGCAAACTCTTTGGTGAGCCCTTCATCACGGAGCTCAGGAAACATGCTGGCTCATTTACCTCCCTGGATAAGGTGGAGAGTTCCCTCAAGAGAGTTTTCCAGCACTCTGGTGTTTTTCACAGGGCTGGTCGGCAGAGGGGCCGCGCCACCAGCCGGGGCTCCTTCCCAGGCTCACAAGGTTTCCACAGATCTCTTCCTTCGACCTCTTATGCCTACACCCAGAGGGCACCTTTTCCTTCCGCCAGAGGATACTTTCGTGGCCGAGGCTCCACTACCCGCGGCAGAGGAAGATCACCTGCCGGTAAGTTCTCTTTATTGGCTTCCCGATCCTTTCTCCCTGGCGTTGGATGCCTTCACTCAATGGTGGCCGCTGACAGGGGGCTTTGCCTTCCCTCCCTTTTCGATGATTTCCCGTCTGATTCATCAGGTCCGCCTACAGCAAGTGAGCCTTCTCCTTGTCACACCGCTCTGGCGGGCACAGCCTTGGTTCCCTGCCCTGATGGAGTTGTCGTGTGCAGACCCTCTCCTCCTTCCCTGGAGCCCCCTTCTCTTACAGGATTCGGAAGGGAACCCCCACCCGCTGGTGCTTCAGGGTCGCCTTCCTCTTGTGGCCTGGAAGATTTCCGGGGTTCCTGGAATCTGTCAGGCCTATCACCTACAGCTCGCTCCTTGCTCAGAGAGTCTTGGGCTCCAGGCACTCGACGTGGCTACCGTGCCGCCTGGAATAAGTGGGAAGATTGGTGTCTGGCTAGGCAGATCGATCCCTTTACAGCTTCTGTGACTGACGTGATCAATTTTTTGTCTGCACTTTTTACAGAGGGTAAATCCTACCGTACTGTCAATGTCTTTTGCTCTGCTATTTCGGCAGGCCACGTCTTCGTGGCTGGACTGCCAATTGGCCGGGATCCTCTACTTTGTCGACTCCTTCGAGGCATACGCCTCTCTCGTCCCCCGGCTCCTCGTTACTCCCATCTTTGGGATGTCTCGCTGGTCTTGGCCTTCTTGTGTGCCTGGCCGGACAATGACCCTTTGTCTTTAAAACAATTGTCGGCCAAGTTGACCACCTTGCTTTGTCTGGTCTCCTTTCGCCATGTGTCTGATGTCAGGGCTTTTGATTATGATGCTCTGTCCTTCACACCGGATGGGGTCTCCTTTTCCCTATCTCGCCGCACTAAGACCTCGTCTTCTTCTGTTTCCTATCCCGCTTTCCTGCGGAACCGTCCTTATGCGTAGTCCGTTGTCTTCAGGCTTATCTGCACAGGACGGCGGCTTCGCGTCGCCCTTACAAACACCAACTGCTTATTTCTTTTGTTCAGCCTTTTATTCCTGTGTCGGCACCTACTCTGGCTAGGTGGGTGCGCTGGCTGCTCTCTCTCGCCAATGTGGACCCCTCTTTTGGTGCACATTCGATCCGGGGTGCAGCGGCCTCTCAAGCTCACTCCTTTGGTGGTTCTCTCGTTGACATCATGCGGTCAGCGGATTGGTCCAGGGAATCTACATTTCGGACCTTCTACTTCAGACCGATTACACACCCCGCGACTTCTCTCCTTCAGCGTTAAAACTGCAAAATATGAAGCCTCCTGTCTTGCCATAAAATTGATGATTATTCTAGCTTTAGTGACCGAATAATCGGGATTTTATTAAAGACAGGAGGCGAATATTTTTCCCACCCGTGTCTATTACTGCTCGTCGCTACCCTTGGTGTATTACCGACATATAAGTTTTGTCATGTTGTTTTAATGTATTTACTCCTTGCACGTTCATTTTCTATACTGTTATGTCACAGTCGTTTGGTTTGCTGTTACGTTTTCGCTGTTTCTCTTGTTTCAGTTTAACAACTCGCTGTACTCTATGGCATTCCTAGACTTCCGGATGGTTATTCTCAGGTTCGGTTTGGCCTTGGTTCCAGTTTGACTTCTCGTGTTTTTTCTACCTGTTACGTTCATGGAGACTGCTTCCAAGAAAAGAGGATGGATCTTCGTGTGGGTGGACTTTATAACATGCTGTGTGGTGCTATTGGATACTTTTGTTTTCTGTTATGTTCCTTTGCTGCTATGAGGTTTCAGTAAAGAAAGTTATGCAAAATATTCGCCTCCTGTCTTTAATAAAATCCCGATTATTCGGTCACTAAAGCTAGAATAATCATCAATTGTGCTGCAAGTTTGAAAATGACTTGCTAAACTATTATAGACTTGCCAAGCTTCACAACATTGTTGCACAATTACAGCAAGTCTGCATTGCAAGTCTCCAGACCAGCGAGCTTGCAGAGCTCTTGCTAAGACCTGCAGGACTCTTGTTGTAGACTTGCCAAGCAAATTTGCTACAAATTCAAAAAGTGTCAACTAGAACTTGTGCTGCAAGTGTTCTGCAGGTCTACAACTTGCCAGGAATGTGTGCGGCAAGTTAACAAGAATTACCATTTAACCCTGCCACAAGTTTGTGGCAAGTTATCCTTGCTATCTGGGTTACTCCAGCCTGGAGCTGCCCGCAGCTTCTTCCTCCAGCCTCAAGCCAGCTGAGGCTTTTTCCTCCAGCCTCAAGCCACCTGCAGTCTCCGCCGGCTGGCCCGCATCTCCCTTGGCCCTGGCCCCGCCTCCTCTTTTACCCGGCAGCTTGCCGCCAGGCCCCGCCAGCAGCACTTGATTAGACATCCGAGGCTGCCTGATTCTGTGCACCTGGCTTGCCTCACTGATTTGGGAGCAGCATTTTTCCCCCTGAAAAGTGCCGCCCAAGGTAAAGAAGGTGGTTACACCCCTGCACGTGCTGCAACTTCACAATAGCCATACCTGCTGTGGCTGCACTAGCAGCAACGGACCATATTTATGTCAGTGTCTCCTGATTAAGGAAGTGTGCAACATCTGTTCACCATTGAAAGAGGTGACCAGATGGTGCCACAATCTCTCTGGTGTTCCTGCTGGTGTATGGTGTAATAGATCGGGCACTGGAGACACAGCAGTAGAAGGAAGAGGAAGACTTGCCACTGTCTCAGGGTCAACTTAATCCTTGTGAGGCAGAGCCAGCAGAAGTCGGAGGAGCGTTGGGGTGCTGCCAGTGAGGGGTAGTAGGGTTGTGGTGCTGGAAATAAGGAGGAGGGCTGGTGGTCCTGGTGGTAAGTAGGAGGACATTTGGGGTGGCCTCAATGGGGGATATTTCAACCCTCCCCAATCCAAGGGATAATCTTACAGAGATCTATAGCAGCATTTCTCAACCTTTTCCAGTCACGGCACCCTTTAAATGTATGCAAAATCTCAAGGCACCTTAGTCCACAATTTAAAAAAAATTATGCTTGGCCCCTACAAAACCCATACCAGCCCCTTACCTAATTAGGGGTCTGGTATGGATTTTGAGCAGTAACCCCATGCAAAAACATAAAAAAATACCCCTTCACATCGACAGAATCCTGCCTTTTACATTAGGAGCCCTTTCTTTCACACTAGTAGCCCCCCTCTTTTCACATCAGCATTCCCCCTTCACATCAGAATCCCACCGTTTATATTAGGTCCCCCATTTAGATCAGGAGCCCACCTGCACCATGAAAAGGCATGATTTTGTGCAAACAAATGTCAAGGCACCCCTGAGGAAGGCAGAAGGCACACCAGAGTACCATAGCACCCTGACTGAGAAAGGCTGATCTATGTCACCATCTAAGAGGTAGCACAAAGCACCTCGCTTTGAGGTAGCACATCAAAGAACCTTTTTGCCTCATCACCTAATGTTGGCTGGATCCACCAGATTGTAGGCATAGGTGAAATGGAAACACCTAAAGGGAAAAAGCTGTCCATCCTTTTTGGTTTCAAAAATCTTGCTTTGAAAGGCAAAGCTCCCATTTGTGTCACCAAACACTTCTGTGCAACAGAGGTTGACTCCAAAGCACCCCCCTATTTTGTCATTCAGTTTGCCATCACTGCCATTACATGTATTTAATCGGGTGGCTCTATTGCACTGCACTGTAGAAACAAAAGGGCATATGCTGATTTCACACATGTTGCTTTGGTTGTGCCACTTTGTTGCTGACACAGACAAAGCTGTCCTTTGTGTGCTGCCCTTTTTTTATGTTCATATTTTTACATTCTTCATATTCAAGGAGGTAGAGGCCCATGATCTCTGAAACAAAGAAAAAAGCTGAAACATGACCTTCGATAGTGCTGAGAGCCAAACAGTGGTCCAGACTTTTACCACCCACCAACAGTATTTTCCTATGCTATGTATTTTTTATTGGAACAAGTTTAGTTTTTATTTATCTTTTCCTTTTACCATGAAAAATTTGGGGGGTTATTTCTTCTTCATTAGGCCCTCCTTGCCCAGGTCAAGCAAAAATGGCAGGCAGGGACAGCACGACTGTAAATAAAACCCTTTCAAGCGATAACATTCATTAACTTTACAGTGTTCACGCTGGACTACTGTTGGGTGGTGGTTCTACATGCACTTTAGGCACTAACCAGATGTGGCACGTGTCATATCAGAGAGGGCCTTCACTGCAGCAGGGTGAATTTGTGACTGAGAAGCTGCATTTTTATAACCTGGGGTAAGGACGTTGGCTTTTTGGATGCACCCTGTTTTACTGATCACTTTCATTAACAACTGGGTATCCATGCCTGAACACTGGCTTGCAGAGCCGTCACTATAATTAGGCAGCCTGAGACAGTTGCCTCTGGCTGCACCTTGTGAGGAGGTGGCAGGCAGAGTGGCCTGGCTGCTCTGCTGCACGATGTTTGCAATGTGGCTGCCGCCCCCCTTACGTCCAGAGCATTCCAGGTTGCTAAGAGCTGGACGGGGAGATGTGTAAGGGCCATACATCACTGGTTGCCAAGAGCTCGGTGGGATGCCCCCCCCCCCCTCTCTCTTACACACACACTGCCTCAGGCTTCAAAAAAAAGTAGGTGTTATCCCAAAAGTAGAAATACACTTTATTGGAATATCTGTAGCCCTCAGGATCCATTGAAAGCCAATTGCATCTTTAAAAAAGACCACCTTAATTTTATCTTTCTGACTCACTCCAAAGGGTTCCAATTGGTCTGAAATGTTGGCAAATTGAAAATAGTCAACATTGCTTATCCCTAATATTCATAGTGGACTAAGTAGTGATATTAATATAATTCTGTATGAGCACAGTGAGACACAAATAATTCAAGAAAGGTCAGCATTAGAATATTACATGGCAAGCTGCAAAGAGAGATGCTTACTAGATCCTGTTATTACTTGTGAAACCCTAGAAGAAGCAACTACTTGAAACAAAAGACTTGTTTTATGATATTTTTTTAAGATGCCCGATTACTTACACGGTTGGAGGTACAGGGAGGTTATATTTGTGGTCTGTCTCTCCTGTTAGCCAATAGGTAGTTTCTGTGCCTTTACCCTGAAAGTTCACATGAAGAAAAAAAAAAGAGAGAGCCAGAGCATTAGCCGTAATGCTTGATGGTAGAGAGAAAACTAAGCATATTGTATGTGTTATTTATAATATAAAAATCATATACCGTATATACTCGAGTATAAGCCGTCCCGAATATAAGCCGAGGGTGGGAAATGAGGCAGCTACTGGTAGATAGATACCATTAAAATACATTAATATTTATTTAAAAGAAAAATAACCTAGCTCTGTAAGTGGAAAAGGGGGTACAGGGCTACATACAGATCATTTAATACATTCATGTTAGTATAATTGTAAATGTATTGTCTGCACTGTATTAGCAGTATATACTCTATATAGAGTATATACTGCTAATACAGTGCAGACAATACATTTACAATGATCCTCTGCTAACATGAATGGGTTAAATGATCCGTAGTACATGATATGTAGCCCTGTACTATGGATCATTTAACCCATTCATGTTAGCAGAGGATCATTGTAAATGTATTGTCTGCACTGTATTAGCAGTATATACTCTATATAGAGTATATACTGCTAATACAGTGCAGACAATACATTTACAATGATCCTCTGCTAACATGAATGGGTTAAATGATCCGTAGTACATGATATGTAGCCCTGTACTATGGATCATTTAACCCATTCATGTTAGCAGAGGATCATTGTAAATGTATTGTCTGCACTGTATTAGCAGTATATACTCTATATAGAGTATATACTGCTAATACAGTGCAGACAATACATTTACAATGATCCTCTGCTAACATGAATGGGTTAAATGATCCGTAGTACATGATATGTAGCCCTGTACTATGGATCATTTAACCCATTCATGTTAGCAGAGGATCATTGTAAATGTATTGTCTGCACTGTATTAGCAGTATATACTCTATATAGAGTATATACTGCTAATACAGTGCAGACAATACATTTACAATTATACTAACATGAATGTATTAAATGATCTGTATGTAGCCCTGTACCCCCTTTTCCACTTACAGAGCTAGGTTATTTTTCTTTTAAATAAATATTAATGTATTTTAATGGTATCTATCTACCAGTAGCTGCCTCATTTCCCACCCTCGGCTTATATTCGGGACGGCTTATACTCGAGTATATACGGTATACAACCATACTTTGTCTACATGAAGGCCTTCTTAGTTCGAATATATTTTACAGCATGACAAATAGCACCTCGCGCCAAACCCTGTGTAGCTGCAAGCATTATAAGAAGCATTTAATTCTCCTCGCCCTGTACTCACCAGATGGGTCGCTCCACACCCAGGAGATCCGCCAAGCAGACGAAAGCCCCGGGACCCGCAGCTTCTCAGAGAATCCCGAAAATTCTTTCAGCGGCCCTCTGCTCCGCCGGACGAACCCAAAATGGCCGCCGAGTCTGCTCGTGGAACCCGCTCCTCGTCCTCACGTGAGTCCCTGCCATCAACCCATGCATCCTCTCCCAGGGACCCACACACATCAGATATTGATGAGGATATGGAGGGCGATATGCCCCCTTCTGCCCTTAAGGACTGCTTACAGCTGCTGCCCATAAATGAGTGACATTAAGCTTGTTTTTTGGAGCTTAATGTGGCTTAACGTACAAAAAAACAACTTAGATGTTAACCAATTTCTTCCAAACTTACAATACCACAAGACTCAATCTATGCCAACATATTCTGAAGATTTGGGGTCATTTGATAAAACATACGAAAAGTTATTCACATTAAACTATTTTATTACATTCCTGGAAAGCATTTAGCTTAATGTAAGAAGAGCTTAATGTACCATATTGTGCCTAAACCTCAATCAAATGCCTTGAAACTTTGCACAACCCAAGTTCTGCAACAAAAAGGGGGGAGGAGTTACGCTAGTGTATAAACTAATATACCAATCTACAGGGTTTCAAACAACTATTCACAAAAATCCGCAGCTCCTGCCTGTATTGAGGAGCTACATTCTTTGACAGTAATATCGTCTTATACTGGACACCTCTCCCGAAGTCTTTCTTCCATCTTTACACACAGGACTCTAGCAGGTTCATTTTCCCTCGAGCTCTTTGAACTGCAACATATGTGAGTACATTCTCTGATACATTGTTTCTTTTGAAAAGTACTTCAATCAACAACCTAATTAATAAACTTCTAATCTTTAAAAAAAAAAATATAATAATGAATGTACTGCTAGAACAATAAATAAATAAACAAATCTCTATAATAAATATGTGCTAAACAATACATGCAATCAAAGTGTTCACAATTGCTCTTCTTGTAAATATCAATCCTTAATAATAAATATCCCCCAGGAAAGTTCAGTCATATATTCCGTGTTCAGATGTGCACAAATGTGGCATCACACTTATGAAGTGCTCAGGATTTGTCCCAATTGCACCACACTCTTTATGCTTCCACAGTGAAAGTTCTTTATACTAAGTCCATACACCAATTCCAATTATCACCCAGGTGCTCACCCCTCTCAGTGGTCCACTCATCTTATAAGTAGACCTAGGCAGGTCTAAAATCGCTTTATAGGACCTCCAATCGATCTTATTCAAAGGTCGTTTCTCCACAATCGTTACACAGAAAATTATGTCAGCATGTCATCACGACCATATCCAATAAAATATAAAAACAGCCCATAGCGTAAAACTATAAAATAAGAAGCTCCTTTATTTAAAAAAACTACTTGCATAGGAAAGTTGACATAAAACTTCAAGTAAAATGTATGCCCGACACCTCTCTCTCCATGTCACCATATTCTCTGGGTGCAATTGCATATTGTGACAAAGAGAGAGGTGTCGGGCATACATTTTACTTGAAGTTTTATATCAAACGTATGCAATTGAAATGTCACCGCATACATTTGTAACCAGAGAATACGGTGACACTGAGAGAGAGGTGTTGGGCATACATTTTACTTGAAGTTTTATGTCAACTTTCCTATGCGAGTAGTTTTTTAAATAAAGGAGTTTTTTAATTTTGCGGTTTTATGTTAGGGGCTGTTTTTATATGTTATTGGATATGGTTGTGATGACATGACATAATTTTCTGTGTAACGATTGAGGAGACGGCCTTTGAATAAGATTGATTGGAGGTCCTATGAAGTGATTTTAGACCTGCTTAGGTCTACTTGTAAGGTAAGAGGCCCACTGAGAGGGGTGAACACCTGGGTGATAATTGGAATTGGTGTATGAACTTTCACTGTGGAAGGATAAAGGGTGTGGAGCATTTGGGACAAATCTTGAGCACTTTATACCTGTGATTCCACATTTGTGCACATCTGAACACGGAATATATGACTGAACTTTCCAGAGGGTTATTAAGGATTGATATTTACAAGAATTTGTGAACACTTTGATTGCATGTATTGTTTAGCACTTATTTATTATAGAGATTTGTTTATTTATTTATTGTTCTAGTTGAAGTGCAGCGCATTCATTATTATATTTTACAGCATGCAGAGTTTTCAATAATAGTTTTATGATTTTATTATATGTCTATAATACTGGTAAAAATAATCTTCAACATCCATAACTCAGTATCACCGCTCCTTTACAGCAGCACTATAGAATG